TTCTTGAGGTATCTCGCTGACAAGCATAACATGCAGGTTAATATGCTGAAATCTTCAAAGTGTCGCCATGACCTTGAAAATTATGTGAAGGTCACCAAAAGCGACTGGGCCCTGCACGTTCCCTCGATAAAGCCTGGTATTGAATATGAAGAAAATCCAGTGAACGGTTCTTGAGATAGCTTAACATGCAGGTAAAACGTTAACGCCCCTTGTGACCTTGAAATGAAGGTCAAGGTCACTAAACCTGACTTGGACCTTTCTTATACTGTGATGAACCTAGGTACCAAATATGAAAAGAATCTAGTCAACGGTTCTTAAGATATTCCAATTCGTACGGACAGACGGACGGACGGATGAGCCTAATACTATATCCCCGCTTCGCTAAACGCGCAGCTGGGGAGAATGACATGATCCAGTTCTGTCTATCAATGTCCTGAAAGACCCAAGTGTTCTTTGTGTCTACAGAAAGATTCCTGGTTCATCATATATGTAGACTAGGTTTGTTGCCACTTCCAGTCCACCGGCAGGCTATTGAGTGAGTCAGTGAATATGGTTTTACGCTGCTTTTAGCAATATTCCAACAATATCATGGCAGGGGCAGAAATGAGCTTCACAGATTGTACCCATGTGGGGGAATCAAACATGGGTCTCTGGCGTGATGAGTGAATGCTTTAACCACTAGGCTACCCCACTGCCCATGCAGGCTACTCATTGGACTGGCATAGTTTTACATTACTGTGTTCATATTATCTATGCATATCACATTTATCAAATTCATTCCTAAATTACTATCATATAACATGAAAAATTATGTCCAATTCTGATCTGATTAGGTTATTGTATTTCCGTGTCTTTTGGATGTCAAATTTAGAACAATGAAAAGACTTGTTGGAAGTAGACTGAAGAAAGTATGTTTTGAAACATCTGTTTGTATGACTGTTTTCATGAAGACTGTTTTGGTATTAGGAAAAAAGACATCAACATTGGTTGATCAACTGTACCAGCAAATCCAGAAAAAAGTAATTGGTTTGGCCTCGAGTTTACATGGTATAGATTTCACAAATGAAACATACAAAAATCAGATAATACATTTCTCGACGATGTTTTTTGTTTGTTACTTATATTTACACAGCACTTGACAGTCTTTCTAGTAATATGAGTGAGTGAGATATTTAGTGTCATCTAGTAATATGATGGAGGCCTGCCAATAATTGAGTCTGGATCATTCAATCCAGTGATTAATTCATGCAAACTGGGTATGTTGACACACAATCAACCAAGTCACAGCAAAACCATACAATCCATCTTCTTACCTCTTATGACCAGCATAGGTTGTTGGGGAACTAGTCTAACCTGGAAACCTGGCAGGGCCATGATCAATTAATATCTCTCAATATAGACATGGATTGCATCAGCTTGTAGGGTAACGATCATAAACACATCATTGGATACCACTGTCATATCACTTTGTGTGCTAGCGCAGGGTCGTGTCCTATTGTATCAATATTACATGCATGGACAATGCTTATGAAAGTACACAGATTTCAAATATGGACAACGCTCCTGAAATGTAACAGCTTCAACATTCAGGAGGAATGAAATAATATTGACAAGAATAATACATTATTCACAACACAGCAAACAGGAGTTTATCTACAGCCTGTGGAATATAGCTTAGTGCGTGTAACAGGATTAAAGATTAAAGGTTGCCAACCGACTGGTGATTCATTAAGGTCAGGCAGAATTGCTAGGGTCACCTAAAATATTTTTGTCTGTAGAGATGGGTCACCAAAAATTATTTTAGTCCACTGAGATGGGTCACCAAAATATTGCAGTCCACTGAGATGGGTCACCAAAATATTGCGGTCCATGGAGATGGGTCACCAAAATATTGCGGACCATGGAGATGGGTCATCAAAAACTGGTGTCAGTCTCTAGGGGAGGGTAAAAAATTACACTTATCAGGGGAGGATCCCAAAATTACTGACGGTTCATGATTAAATAATAACATTGGTCTTCTAAGTTCTCTTTTAAGGCAGGATCCTGAAAATCATTTTCGGGATATGGGGAAGGTTATCTAAAATATGACAATCATTGGGGATGTGTCATTATTTTCTGTCTTTGATTCCCCCATTTCACTAATAAATGACCAGTCCCTGATGATCTGATCTGGCTTACTTGCCTGCTACCGAGGACTTTATATGTAAAACACACAGTTCATCATGTTCCATAGAGTATGTTTAAAAAACACCTGTTACCATAACATCCCAAATAGTGTTTTCCTGCACAAGTCTGGTCCTTCTAACACTCTCTAAAACACTGTGTTTTCTAACATAGCATCACAAGTTTTTCTCAACCAAAGATAATGAAAACTTGATCAACATTTAGATAAAATACAGTACACCAAACTGGCCATTCTTTGGGTATTATAGTAGGGATACAACAGTACAGTCTTCTTAAATGAAGAAGAGTCGATCATGAATTCTATATAACTTATCTTTCAATCAAACTTGATTAATTTTCAACAACTAGAACCTGACACATTGCAAACCAGGGTCCTATCCATGAGCATGCCTCAAATAGCAGTAATATTATACCAGTTCTGATACACAGGTGAGGTTTCAAGCATATGGTGAGATACTAGTATAGAGCCACACATGTAAATATTGTGTTTCAAAGACTAGAGTAACAAGAGACAAAGCCACAATCATTACATATAATATAAATACTTGATGTCATATATATTCAGCATTTCTTTTCTCACACTAAACTGACCAAAATAATGTAATGCCAAAGAATTAAATTGTATTAAATATATTTTTTTATATGTTTATTTCAAAATTCCTCAGCTAATTGGTTGTCAAAACTCAATATACAATAAAATAAACAAGTTACAAGTGTTTCAAAATGAGACAAACCACATGCATATTTCAAAAGAGCAATACCATATACACAACACATCACCTTGGTAACAAGGTAAAAGAATATATTCAGGAAGTGGGTTTATATTACCAATACATGAAATGTAAGTAGTCATTGGCAAGTTTTCAGGGGTAATTCCCTGCTAACAGATGTATTGGTCCCAGAGAATACATTTCTGCATTCATACATTGGTGCACTGAAAAGTAGAGTTACCATGGAAACATGATATTCTGATACATACAACACAGATTCATGTACAGCAGATTGAGCTCTTTGGTAAAGGTGACCAGAGCTCATGTGTAAACAGCAGATCTCTTACAACAGCCATTCCTCAGAGAATCATTCCCTCATTGCTCATGGAACATGACAAAACCATAACATGTGCCATCTACCATCATACCTTATCTTACAGAATCATTCAAACATAGTTCATACAATTATAGTACAAGCTACTACTCTTCTGCCAACTGTCAAACAGGATTATAGTACAAGCTACGACTTTCCTTCCAACTGTCAAACCAAATTGTAGTACAAGCTACTACTGCCAACTCCTGCCAACAGTCATTAAACCAAATCCGTTGTACGTCGTTGTAAGCTACTACTCTCCTGCCAACTGTCAAACAGTAGTACAAGCTATAGTACTGTCAAACCAAACTACTACTCTCCTGCCAACTGTCAAACAGGATTATAGTACAAGCTACTACTCTCCTGCCAACTGTCAAACCAAATTGTAGTACAAGCTACTACTCTCCTGCCAACAGTCAAAACCAAATCAAACCAAATGTTGTACAAGCTACTACTCTCCTGCCAACAGTCAAACCAAATTGTAGTACAAGCTACTACTCTCCTGTCCAACAGTTCAAACAGTAACATGGTAGAAGCAACTACTCTCCTGCCAACAGTCAAACAGTTACATGGTAGAAGCTACTACTCTCCTGCTGCCAGCAGTCAAACAGTAACATGGTAGAAGCTACTACTCTTCTGCCAACAGTCATACAAATCATAGAACAAGCTACTACCACCATACCTACTGCCAACAGTCATGCCCACATAATCAGTCATGACTATTGGAAATAAATATCTTCCAGAGCTGCAATTGTAAGCAATCAGGATGAAATATTTGGAATCAATTGTACAAGGTTCCCATAGTATCTACAGGAAAGTGAACTAGAAACCAATAACACAGTTGCCATGTTTGATTACATGCCATGGGTTCTCCTGCCTATCATTGTATACCAAGCTTTATGTAAATATCACCTTGACATGACAGACAGCTTAAGCAATAACAGTAACTATACAAGTATATAAAAACTACAAAACATACACCTTAAACACACGTCACTTTAAACAACTGAGATATTTATACTGCTACACAGAAAACACAGTCGTAATCAACATGGATGACAATAATCCCCATGTTCGGTGTGGAATTGGAAGAAATACTCCACCTGAATTGATATCTGTAGAATTACATAGAAAGAGCATTATCCTTCAATGTAACATCAGGTACTATAAACAGGAGAAACATTCATGAAAAACATTCAAAGAGTAATTTTGCCATTTTACTAATCTGGACATCAGAACATGTACAGATGTCTTACACATTTTCACAACATTCCAATCAAATCAAAATGCAAAAGGCAAAATAGATATCCTGAGAAATTACTGATTTTTAACACATTTATCATCCTTTAAATTGTGGAAGAAAATGTTTCTCTCAGTATTCACTAACTCAAGTAGGAAGAGAAGTAGTATTACAACTATTGCAATTGTATCACTTTAGTTCAAAAGACTATTGTGATGTGAAACCATGTTTGAAGAGCACTGTGAGAACCTCTACATTTCTACAGTCAATTTCCTTGTATTACTTGACATAGGGTCAGAGTCTAACATCATGTGTGTCATTTCCCAGGTTAGGTTGGTTTATTAGACAAGATTGTCGGGCCGCTTCCAACAAATGTTCCTGGGAACCATTCCTACCCAGATTCCTCAAGGGAGATAATTGTGGAAAATACTTAGGTCATGCATTATAATTAAAACCCTACAAACACTGTATCATCTAGAATTTAACACGGAAGGACGCGTTCACAAATTCCCCTGTAACATTTCAACCTTTTAGTATTTCATAGGTCCATTGCTGTCAGCAATATAACCTGTTAGAACCAGAAAATTACACAAGTAGAAAAACACAAACAACGAATAATGTATATTCCATAATTGGAAATAGAAAATTTACAACATCCGATTATCTGGTACAGTTGGCACAGATGGACTGAGGTTGGGTGGGTCATGCTTTATACTGGTAACCATAGAAACATTTTTGACACATCTTACACATTAAATGTTTATAAAATGGTACCTACTAATGTTCACAATAGCGAAAACCAAGAACATTTATCAATGTTGTTTTTTCCATAAGGATCACATTAGGTTGATTTGGTGTGAAACACTGCACTCAGCAATATTCCAGCTATATGGCGGCGGTCTGTATATAATCGTGTCTGGACCAGACAATCCAGTTATCAACAGCATGAGCATCAATCTACCCAACTGGGATACGATGACATGCATCACATTAGGTCATACAGCATATCTTTGAAATCTGTGGATTAGGATAAACAGGTCCTAAACAATGTATCCCAATCCTCCAAAATATCTCCTTAGGTGTGTATACCTAAACACAACGTGACACACCAAGAGTTTTCAGTGTCTGACAGTTTAAATGGAATTCATATTCAGAATAGTAGCAGTATTTCAAAGTGTTTAAGCACATATCAGTTTACACATTAAGCATGGTGGCGAGTTCTTCAATCCTGTGTCGGTTGGCAACCATGTAACAGTGAGATTCCCACATCATGTTGATTAGTTTGGAGTTGTCATGGCAATCAAGAGCTACATTTTCCGAGAGTTGTGGGCTGTAGCGGTAGAAAGGGACGTTGATCATGCTGCACCATGCACGGGCTCGGTCCACAGGTCTCCCCTCCGATACAGTAGCCTGAAGGATTGCATAGCAACTGTGAGATCTCTTGGAGACAAGGAATGAGGAATGACAGAGGCCCTTTTTGGTGCCATTTGCAATTGGTGATTGTAAACTTACAGAAAACGTATAATTTAGGAACATTCTTGTACATGTCTCTTTACTTTCAATCATGTGATCACCAGATCAACTCAGTTCATATAAGCAATATGCTTGCTGACAACCTGTAAAATCAGAAGCTATCTCTACATTTAGTGTTGTAGTAAGTAAAAACATTATAATGTTTAGGAAAACTCATGCCCATTTCTCATGTATATCAGCACATCAGAGTTACCTTCCTTTGGCAAGGGAGGGAAATAACATTGTTGGCAATACTTGATTCATTTCTATTACACTGATCAATATGATTATCAAGCCTTCAAGTTGGTTTCATATTACTGCAATGGCTTGACAAATATCGCAATACCATTGCAGTGTGGGATACCGTTGCAATGCTATCACAATACTTAAAACAGACCCAAGAGTAGAGATACATCAATTATGTAAGAGATAAGCATTATGTGTTCAAGGTCCTCGGGTGTTATTGAGAATTTCTTGACTGAAATTTTCATTTTGAACTGAGCTGCATGCTTTGATGTCCAATTTTCACGTACAACAACAATATTCTTTAAAGTTACTGAATCACTGTAAGTATATGTTTTGTTTGCTACCTGGTCAATTACGAGATTACCAAGCGAAGAGACACCCATAACAGCTTTTGCAGCATCAAACAGTCCTTCGGGTCTGAAGACGTCAACATTCTGTACCACATTCTGCGGGACCCGCCCTGTACCCAGTGACACCACGCATCCCAGTGGCCGCACTTTGTGACCTTCATTCTGAAGAAAACAAACGGGAAAACTATTTCATTGTTATGAATAACAGAAATTCAACATTAGAAGCTTTATGGCATGAAATTCAAAATGGCAACTTCCATTCTAGACTGGTCTTGGACAAACACAAACTTGTGAGCTGAAAAATGGAATTGTGGAATGTCTAATAGGAGGCTCCGATTGTATGGCAGGATTTCCCTTTGGCTAATAAAGTTTCATTTCACATGTTTGAAATCTTGATCTTATATGCAAAACTTCGATTTGTTGGAAGAATGGTCAGTCTGATTTTAAGGATCTTCCAGACACAAGAGTGTTTACTAGCCTAAGTTAAAGTCTAGCTAGATTTCCCACTTGCCATTTCAGGCCTTATCAAGCACATGTATATAATAGTGCAAGTCTCACATTTTGTTTAAGTCCCAGGTTGTATTCATGGATCTCTGTCAGTATGTCTAGGGTGGGGTTGTTGGAAATGAGCCCGCCGTCCAGGAACTTGCCGTACGCCCTGAAGTAGGTGGGTGCTGCTCCCACTACCGTGCTGCCAGCCATATTGGCTGTTCTGAAGGAGACAATCCATGGTTCTCTTATTGTCATGTCATTACAAAGCTACAACAGTAAGCTGCATTGTTCAATAATATATGGATGACATACTTTTCCACTGTTTCATCGCCAGCATTGCTAACACAAAGGATGAGGTATGATAAATGTTTAAGAATTAAGCAGAACTCAAAATAGTCATGAAAGTTATCCAAAGTGTTACTTTCACCAACAAAGATCATATTTTCTCATAAAACCTTTCAAGTGTATAACACAAAACCCAGACTACAAATCATGTTAAGTAATGTTTTTCTGATATTTAAACTTTAAAATGTCAAAAGTATTCTGTAACTATGATTTTATTCCTTCCCAGAGGGTCTTTGTCCTACCTCAACCTTTGTGACACTGACTTACTCTCAGGTTCTTGAACCTCCACCAGTTTCACGTCCTTGTCGTCTCTGTGGGGGGTCTTCAGGAACTTCCTGTAGGTGCGGAACATGTGCAGCTCTGCAGGGTTGCGGTCTGCCAGGACAGCCGTCACCAGCACTCTGAAACACCAGTGAGTTAAGATTTTATGTCACATCAGCAATATTTCAGCCATATTGTGACCTGAAACACTATATGTGTGTTTCAGTCACACAAGCTACCATGGGAAATATTTGGTAGAGAATCAATTATTTTAATACCTAGATTAAAAATGCAAGAGCTGAACTGAACTTAATGCATTTATTTACTGTCCCAAGTTTCAGGAAATTGTTTGAAAAAGACATAGCGATGTGTGTGTCTGTGTGCCTGCCTGCTTGTATGAGGACTCATGCCGTTTTTTTCACTGCCAGCCAACTTAGATTCTGTGTAACATGGATAACCCTCTCTGACTTGGTATCTGGACTCAGAGCTGAAAGTCCCTGTTTCATCCCAGAGCAACAACAAGTACCAATGTTTAACAGCTGTTGGTATCAAGTAGCAGGGACTGAACCCCAGACCTTCCTACCTCAAGGCAGACACTCTATCTACTACCCCACCAAGGTTTCTTCTCAGGTTGTAACCAACCATGTTAAAGCCATTATGATAATTTTTCCCTCTCGTTGCCTCTTTGTAGTAATGTAAGTGATGGTATTTAGACATATCTGACTAAGTTTCAAACCTAAGTAATACTTACTTTGGATGTACTATGTCAGTCATCACAGGTGTCTCGCCAAACTCTCTCTTCAACATGGCCTCAAACGGCTCTGATGAGTAAGGTCGTCTGCCCTTAAAAACTTCATCTTTCAAGCGGAAATACACACCTTTCAGATACTGGAGGGAAAACCCTGAAAAACACAATTTATCATTGAGGAGTTCCTAGGCCTAGGCCAGATTCTCCCGGGAAAGTTAAGACCGGGAAGAAATGGCCTGCTACACAGGATCTCCACAGGTGCTACTGCTTATAAATGTATACAGACATTTAAAACTGGTCATACCATTCTGGATTTAGACAGATGCAATCAAATAAAAGTAGATCTTGTATTACATATACACTAACCTTCATGAATTTTTCAAAAGTATTTTTGCAGATTTAATATCTTTCTCAAGACAAGTAGCCAAGATATTACTTTTGGAAAAAAATTCTGAAAAGTTGATTAGCAGCTTCAAGACAAAGATAATCAACTTCTGCCAACAACAACTTTAGTTTTATCCTAGAAACACCTTCATTCTTCACTCGCTAGTAAAGGGACATAACTCTTTTTTTCTGTCCACCATGTACAAGATAATGTACTCACCCCTGGCAATGCCGAGAGCAAGAATACCACCAGTGCTGGTCCCACCAATCCAGTCAAAGCAGTCTTTGATTGGTCGTCCTGAGGCAGCCTCGATCTCCATCAGCATTTGTATGAGCACCAAGCCACGGATACCTCCCCCATCCAGACACAACACCTGAATGGATAACCACGCACTTCACAAACTCCATTGGTGCTAGATGTATCTCTTTATTATCTCTAGGCTTGTAGATTACCTTTTGAAAATTCAAAGTGACATTTGAGACACTTATTTATATATAAAATCTGTTTCTGTTTTGTGACGAATCCTTTTGGAGGAACAGTAAAAGAAGTGCCAGTGGACTCCTTTATACGATTGTAAAGAACTGTTATTTCTACTTTTACAAACCATTGTTTACGTCATGTACTGATAAAAAAATCAGGACAAGTCAAGAACTTTAAGATAGGACAGACTGTTTTGATATATTGACTGAATATCTTTAAAAACAAATAGCTATATTATATTATTTATATTTGTAATAACCCTTGGTAGTGCAATTTAGCAGAAAAATTTAAGCACTAATACTGTGATAAAAGCGTAACTTAATCTTTATTCATCTTATTTTCTGATTGTGTCTTTTTATATGGATGCACAGATTGTAACACACATGACAGAAGCTGCATGTCTCCAAGGAACTCACCCGATCTCCGATATGGGAAGGAGCATCCACCATGTCTAACACCGACCCGCCTTGTGGATCGATAGTAGCGCCAGTCGGGACGCGATGTGCGAGACAACATCTCATCAAACAGAGCTGAACAGAGAAGACATGAATTGTATTATCAACACTGTCAGTTATAGTTGTGGAAATGTAATAGAGGTTCTCATAATATGGATTGAGATAAGTATTTGGCTGTTTATTGTACATCGCATGCACAAGACATGGTTTTCGTACCCAGATTTGAAGGGACTTGAAGGGGTTACCTTCTGCACGAGGTATACTATCTGACATATTTTCTATATTTGGTAGCTTTAAAGACAGCAATATTTGTGCAAATGAAAAGGATGGATTTCATGATGCACATTCCAAATGATTCAGAACTAGGTGTGTGTGTTGTGGTGAACACAGGGGCCAAGCCTGAAACACCTGGCTGAAGGCACAGTCAACATTTAAAGTATGTGACTAAAAACAGGTGCCCTTCCTCTGTACCTGCCAGTGATAATACTGATCACCATTTTCTCTGTTATACTTTGGCCTGGCACGGAGCTATCTCAGACACAACATTAGTTGCAGAGTTAATGTGTTTGGTCGTGTGGATAAGGTGTCTGTCCTATCACCAGACTAGAAATGTTATGGATGCAACATTGGAGCAAGTCTCAGTGAATGAGTGTTGGGGAGTATGTGGCATAGCAGGCCATGGAGTCTACCCACAGATCCTTACCTCTAAGAGACTAAAAAAACTGAAACTGGCTGTTCAGCATGACTTTTATACCACATTAGTTATGTGATTTTAAGAATATCTGAGAATTAATGGTCCTTACCTACGCTATCCACTCTCAGAAGACCCCTCATGACCGGGTCGGGGATGCCATTGTGGGTGCCCTCGGGTACACAGCCAGCAAGACAGCCCTTGACGTCCACGCCACAACGCTTGCCCCCCGACACATGCAGGAAGTACAGGATGAGATCCCTGGAGGAACAAACTCAATGTTAACTTGATGTCAAGAGTTCTGTGATGCTGAGTGCATGATGTAAGAGTCAGTCGCGAAGCCTAGTGTCTAGGTGTAAGAATCACTTGATGATTAGTGCTTGGTACAAACAGGCATTCGATGCTTGCTGCTTTGAGCTTAGAATAAAGTCATCGATGCTTAGTGCTTGATGTGAAAGAGTGCTTTGAGTCTCTTAGAATTAGACCTTGAACACTGGAGTTTAATAAGGAGGGAAAGTCAGTTGGGAGATAAACATCCTGTATTTAGAAATCTCGGTTACTTGTAGTCTAGATGTTGAGCACATTCTTCTGAATTTTATTTGGAATCTTGTCCTTTAGTATGAGTTTCAAATGTACCCATAAAGATTACATAATTAAGTATTTCTAAATATTGTCCACTCACTTATTCTTTCCTTTAGACACGGCTGCCAGATGTCGAGCTGTGTGCCGGTTCTTGTTCCTCAAGTTAACACTGGCTCCAAACACAACGAACGTCCGAACAAACTCAATATCATCTTGCTGGAAGAAAGAATGAATGCACTCATAAAAAATATAAAATAAAAGCACTTCAGACATACAAAACAATTTCTGGAGACAATAGTGCATAGAGTACCCCCTAGGCACATTTAGGAGGGCGCTGCGCCCTGCCCTTTGATTTTTGCGCCCTGCCCTTTTTGTTTTGCGCCCTGCCCTTTTCGCCTCAATTCCCAGGGTTTTTTTCAGCTGTGCTTGATTTTACAACAACCCTTGTGTATTTTCCGGATTTCATGAAGGACGGAGTTCTCTCCCTTTCTAGGGGTGACGCAAAATTGTGTTGATAATGATTACGAAATTGGCATTTAATTATTTTGTTGCTTGTCCTGGGAAATGAAATAGTTAATACAGCTTGCATAACAGCTTAACATGGTATCCTTGTTTTTAGTGTTTGGTGTCGATTTCATAAAAAAGTAAGTCTTGAAGGAGTAAAACTATTTTACGATTTCAAACAATGGGAAGCCACACCCTTGTCGAAGCTCTCCACAGTAGATACTTACGTTCAGGTGTATTATTGTGTGATATTTTTGTTTTAATAATTATGATTGCAAATTTAATATCTAAGAATATTTTGAATATGGTATATTAACTTTGTATATATTTTTTCAGACCCGGACTTAGGCGAGGCAGAGGTAGTTTCCTATGAAAACTCATGGGCACACGAGACAGAGTCAGTTAATCCAACAAAGAAGAAAGATGGTGGTCACAAGACTGCATTTGACACAAAGTGGCAACAAAACTTGTGTCCTGGTCGAGGTACTCAGAAGATGACAAAAAGAAGGGAATGATGTTTTGTTCATTATGTTCCTAAGTTGAAAACCAACGGCAGAAATGGACTTAATGTCGACCAAACACAGATTGAATGGAGTCAAGTAAAGGAGCTTGACACCAGTTCACCCTCCACCATTTTGAAGACTCAAGCCTCAACTTGGAAACTTGAATCCAAACATTGTTCAATTACTGTCCATTCATGCAACTGTGATTGTCAACTTCTGAAGTTGAGAGAGTGTTCTCAAAAGTGAAACTGATTGTGACAGATCATAGAAACAGACTCAGTGTTAAAAATTGCAACAGACTTCTCATGATTAGCCTGAAGCTTCGTCAGTTTCAGACATTGACTTGAAGAAAGTTGTGAACAGATGCTTGGCAAAAAAAGAAAAGAAGACTGTAAATTGTTGTTTGCGTGTTTTGTGAAATTGTAAACAAATGTGATAACAGATGAATGCCTTGAAATGCTTTTTTTCTTCCAAATTTTGATCTTAAAATGCAAAATGAGAAGAGTAATAAATGAACTTTAGAAATAAAATTATAAGAGCATTTGACTTCATATACATTTTGTTATTGTTATTTTTCCAATAATCCTCACCAAAATGCCCTTTTAGATTATGAAGTGCCCTTTTTTTTTAAGTTACCCTGCCCTTTCTGAATCCTAGGGGGAACACTAAGTGCATGTTTAACAATTAGTAGTCACAGTGACCTACCTGCACTGCCCAGTGTAGAGGCGTCTCTGCATTCTTGTCGGCCATGTTGCAGTCTGCGCCGTAGCACAACATTGTCATGAGACAGTCCAGACGCTGGGTGAAGATCATCACGTGTAGCGCACTATCCTGCGTGTTGCTCATGGAGTTCATGTCACATCCAGCATGCGCCAGGAACTCTATCACCTACACATACACATACATATTACACTTTCTGCATAAACAAATCACTAACATAACAGAAAATATGATTGAAAACATATGAGAGCAATCCCATGAGACAGTGCCAAGCGTCCATGTTGTTCCCCTCCCCTAGTGCAAAGTGTCCTTTTTAGACAGTGTCAGATGAGACCCCTCCCCTTTGACAGTGTCAGATTGAGACCCCTCCCCTTTGACAGCGTCAGAGTGAGACCACTCCCCTTCGACAGTGTCAGAGTGAGACCCCTCCCCTTAGACAGTGTCAGATTGAGACCCCTCCCCTTAGACAGTGTCAGATTGAGACCTCTCCCCTTTGACAGCGTCAGATTGACAGATTGAGACCCTCCCCTCAGACAGTGTCAGAGTGGGGAGACCCCCCTCCCCTTAGACAGTGTCAAGATTGAGGTCCCTTCCCTTTGACAGTGTCAGAGTGAGACCCTCCCTTGGAGCAGTGTCACAATGAGACCCTCCCCTTGACAGTGTCAGATTGGGACCCCTCCCCTTAGACAGTGTCAAATTGAGACCCCTCCCTTCGACAACATCAGATTGAGATCCTTCCCTTCGACAGTGTCAGAGTGAGACCCCTCCTCTTAGACAGGTGTCCCAGTGAACCCTCCCCTTAGACAGTGTCATAGTGAGACCCCTCCCCTTAGACAGTGTCAGATTGAGACCCCTCCCCTTTGACAGCGTCAGATTGACAGATTGAGACCCCTCCCCTCAGACAGTGTCAGAGTGAGACCCCTCCCCTTAGACAGTGTCAGATTGAGGTCCCTTCCCTTTGACAGTGTCAGAGTGAGACCCTCCCTTAGACAGTGTCACAATGAGACCCCTCCCCTTCGACAGTGTCAGATTGAGACCCCTCCCCTTAGACAGTGTCAAATTGAGACCCATCCCCTTCGACAACATCAGATTGAGACCCCTCCCCTTATATAGTGTCAGGGTGAGACCCCTCCTCTTAGACAGTGTCCCAGTGAGACCCCTCCCCTTAGACAGTGTCATAGTGAGACCCTTCCCCTTAGACAGTGTCAGATTCAGACCCTTCCCCTTCCACAGCATCAGATTGAGACCCCTCCCCTCAGTCAGTGTCAGAGTAAGACCCTCCCCTTCGACACTGCCCAGTGAGACGCATCACCTACCTCCTTTGACTTTGCCCAGTGTAGTGGGGTACCCCCATACTTGTGATCCCGGGGGCCCAGCTGGTCAGGATGGGACCGACAGATCAGCTCCAGTGACCTGTTTAGTACAGATATTTGGAGTGAACACAACATAATACTTAAAACACAAACGGGGGAAAAGCTTACACAGAGCACCACTGGGTCTATTATTACTTGGTTTACAGAGTTCCCACAAAATGTCAGACCAGTCATACTGATGTAATCCATTGATGACGTTTTGTTGCCACTGTCAAACTGATCTCTGTTGTGTTCTTAATGTTAATAACAACTGCTCATCATGAACTGTGGTTTGTTGTTAATTGGTTGGTTAGAAATTAGAAATATGATCACCATGTTTGGGACAAATTCTCTTCTGAGATGATCAGTTCCAACTAGTGATACAACAGATGACCCACCTGACATCACCAGCATCAACAGCTGCGTGCACAGGCAAACAGGAAGTGGCCGATATCTTGGGGTCAGCACCGACGTGCAGCAACATCTCTGTCGCCTCTGGTAGTTTCTTCTTACATGCCATCAACAATGGCGTCTCTCCTCGGCCGTCTAGCCAGTTCACGACTCCCTCCTTGTCATGACTGGCCACCATCTGTACAAAGAAGAACACTGTTAAAGGGAGACTACTCTACTACCATTTCCAGTGTACACCTCAGCCTTATAATTAGTGTGTGACTGATGACGGTGAAACAGAGGCATAGCAAGTCAGGTAATCATCAACTGCTTGACTGATACAGCGTACAGGAAGCAGAAGAAACGAATAACATGTTGTTGTTGATGACAACTGACAGAGGACATAATTTTGAATCTGATATGTATGGATGCAGTCCAAACGAAATACATAACATAGCCTGCATCACAACACAATGTTCAAAGGTAGAGAGTGAGTACAGTTTTACGCCACTTTCAGCAATAATCCAGCAGTATCAAGAAGGGGAACACCAGAAATGGGCTTCACACATTGTACACATGTGGGGAATCAAATCTGGGTCTTCGGCATGAAGAACCAATGCTTTAACCACTAGGCTACCCTACCACCCGATTCAAAGGTAGAGAACAATTGCCTCTGGAATATATATTAGTGGAAAGGTGACAAGGTCATTGCCTATCTATGTGTCATCATGGAAACTAAGTGTTGGTGTGTGGATGGGTTCAGCATATATTTCTCACCAGAGATATGATACACTAGGCAATAATGATGGAATACCAGATTATCAATGTAAGATCCAACCTCCACTGCTGTGAATGAAATACTCACAAGTTCAGCTAGCCTGTGTCATACAGCAGTGTTTGTGCCTGTGATTATCACACCAAAGGTGAACTAATATCTACATATTTGTTTTTGTGTCAAAGATAATGAAACCATACATTCAGTCTAATTCCTGTATTATATATTGAGATTCTCTATTCTGACCACTCTCTCATTACATTTTCTCCCATTTTGAATTGTCAATCCCTTAATAACATCATTATTGTCCATCCCCATCATTACCCAGTGTTTCATTTGACTTGTATTATGAGTGAGAGAGTGATTTTAGTTTTTAGCCGATTATAGCAATATTCCAGCAATATCAGAATAATCTTCTTAAAGACGTCTACATTAAGTTCTTTCTCTCATGAACAATTTTCACTAAGATTTTGTTGGGCTAGTGCTTAAGACATTTGCATGTGACACTAGAAAAACAAAACCATTTGTGTCACATCAGTAAAATCATCCTCCTGGGAAATTCTTACCCAACTCAGGTTACTTACTGAGAGGCATGATGGGAAGTTGAGGACAGCGTGGTGGTACACGGTGAGGCCATACTTGTCGCTGACATCGATCCTGGCTCCCAACATCAGCAGCTCCTGTAAACACTGCATCTGCTTGCCCTGCACGCTGGTCATCAGGGGAGACAATCCTGTTGCACTACACACCGTGTTGATCGCACTGCAGCCACAACAAATATGTGGACATTACCATGTGTATAAACATCACTGGAAGAGTGAGTGAGTGAGTATGGTTTTACACTGCTTTTAGGAATATTCCAGCAATATCACGGCAGAGAACCCCAGAAATGGGCTTCACACATTGTACCCATGTGGGGAATCGAACCTGGGTCTTTAGCAGGATGAGTTGATGCTTTAACCACTAGGCTACCCCACCACCCTATCACTGGAAGATGCTAAATGACACTTGGAAATTTCATTAACCACTGACAAGTGCTAAATGTTGAACATTTCTGGCTCTGACAGAACATTCCAAACTATCTTGATCTGTCAGAGATCAGATGCAGATCTATCACAGATCTGTCACAAATTGTCTAGCAGACATCAAGACGAATCAGATAGTACCATTGATTGGTCAGCAGCTAGTTAACAATTCAATAGGAACAACCAGCCAAAATCTTGTCACCAACAGAAATCTCAGCATATTCCATTCACTCTACGATACCGAAAGTAACATAGATTCATTTTAACAAATCTAATTATTTCTGTTTAGATGCCACGACTTTTATTTAATAAAAAACCCTTTTGTGAGATATACATCCTTAATGAAACTGCTGACTAAACTTCTAACTGCCTCTTGTTAGACATAGTGCCTCATTAAACAAACTTAATCCCTTTCCTTGAGAAACAATCTCTAACTAAATCAAGTTCCTTTTCTTGAATATTTTTGAAGCGAATGTGATCACTTGGTGCTCCTACCTTCTGATAATTTCATGTCTGAAGCACTCGTAGAGGCCGGTGTAGGCGGCGATGTGGCACGCGGTCCAGGTGGGGTGTTCGCGGATGCAGTCGCTCACCCGCTGCAACACGTCCTCCTGGTTCAGGCTGCTGCTGCTGCTAACAAGGCACACCATCTTCGGGGCCAGGATGTTGAACTGGCACAACGCCTCTCACCCTCCATCATGATACGGAATATACTGAAAATGATAGCAGGATTTGATTTTGCCACTGAGGTGAATTCACAAGGTGAATAATCCAAAGGAACATACATTAACTGATAGCAGGACCACAGGTAGTCAGTCGTACAGACCCTGAAACAAATATATCCAAGAAAGCCCATGCAAGTGTAGTATATGTGGCAAGTCTAGATTTCCACAGTCTAAGGGCTCCTTTTCATTGTATTTATGATCATTATTTATGAATTATTTTGTTCTGCAACATATGTTAGTGTAGACCATAGGCTACAATCCTTATGTAGGTGACATGTATGGCAGTTTGACTCCAGAGTGTCTGTGTCTTGGTCCCTCTCACAATGATACACACATAACATGTGGTTTCACCTTGGGTAACTGACTGTGTTTATATAATGTTGACATTCACCTTGCTACCTGGTAGTATGAGACTCATGAGACTAATAACCTTCTAGTGGCTCACAGGCATCTTAGTTGTAAACTTCTCACTGAGCTGAGAATGAGTGAGTGAGTGAGTTTAGTTTTACACTGCGCACTCAGCAATATTCCAGCTATATGGCGGCGGTCTGTAAAGAGTATGGACCAGACAATCCAGTGATAAACAGCATGAGCATCGATCTGCACAATTGGGAACCGATGACGTGTCAACCAAGTGAGTGAGCCTGACCACCCGATCCCGCTAGTCGCTTCTTAAGACAAGCATGGGTTACTGAAGGTTCATTCTAACCCGGACCTTCATGGGTCAGCTGAGAATGAATGAGTGCAAATGTAGCCATATCTTGGTTTAACAATGTCAGTACTCTGACTTATTGCCTTGTGTATGGAAGCTACTGCAATATCAATACACACCATTATTATTCTATCTAGTCCATATGTTCATACTAACACATCAAACATGACTGCAGGACACATTCATGTGCTACAACGTGAAAGGTTTTGGCACGGACTGGGGTTACCCATCCTATTTGTGAAGGAGTGAGGCGATGACTTTGAATGTTTCAAATAGTGGTGTGTTGATAGAGCCCAGTGCCAACTTTTGGATCATTATGTTACCAATGTTATTATTATGTGAAACCCATGAACATAGGAATGGTGCTGGCACCAAGTTTAATAATCAGGGAGAATTGGGCATCAGTCGTCTGTGTCCCTCCTTCTACATGACGTAGTTTCACCTGTAGAAGTAGCTCACCTGTAGCACTTGCTCGTGACTGTCATCATCAGGACACACTCTCAGAAAGCATCCTGGCCGCTTGTACAGGAACAGCCATTCCTCACGATTTATCACTTGAAGCTGAAATATTCAACAATTTCACAGATATAATTACTGAACGCGTAAGGTTATTTTTAAAGTTTTAAATGATAATCAAGTTCAACTTAACACAGCAATTAACTACTTCAAAATACATTGTATACCTGACATTTTGTAGAGATATCAGGCTGAAGATCAATTCATCAAAGAATCCCACTGTGAACAACACAACGATATTGAACCCCATAGAGATCTGACAGCCTCATCAGTCAGGTAGTGAAGGAACAAGACATCAACATGAGACTAAAGAAATCTCTGAGCATACAAAGATGGAATTACACTTTTCAAATTAATTCAGTTGTCTTAGGGTGCTTTGAGCTACAGATAACTTTTTGGGTCATTGAGTTATGTACTCTCTTGTGTTCATCTCAATTGGGTATCCTAATTTTTCCTTTGAGTAACCAAACAAATTGTACCCACCTTACTCAAACTTCAATTGGGTATTTTGCCATTAATTGCAAAAATGTAATAAAATTTAAATGTTGGTTTACGTATTTGTTATCTATATTGATCTGTAACATGAGAAACGATAAGAAAGACTGCAAGTTGCCAAGTTCATATGCTGAAATAGAAGCAAGAGTTTAATCAAACAAGATTTGACATTTTTGTGTGTTCGCATGTAAGATCGTGTAAGTATTTTCAAAAGTTCATGCATACTTGTAGGCAATAGACTTAATAGGAATTGAGTTTTCACATAAATATTTCATGCGTAATTTACTCCAGATACGCAGCTTATCTGTACCTCTGTAAGTGTTAACAAACAAAAGGGTAAACTATTAATGGTATGGCTGAACAATGTTCCTGGTGCTTTATGTGCACACTAAGACAAATGCTTAAATTAAAGAACCTTGTGATGATGTGTGCCCAATATGTGTTCCTATCAGAGAGCGGTGGGGCAGCCTAGTTGGTTAAAACGTCCACCGTCCATGCGAAGACCTAGGTTCGATTCCATGCGTTTTTAAGGTACAATGTAAAGTCCATTTCTGGTGTTTCCAGCTGTGATATTTCTGGATTATTGCTAAAAGCGGGGTAAAACCATATTCACTCACTCCATCCCATCTATATCCAACCCCTCCACCTTTTCCTAAGCCTGTAGATATACCAAATATACCAATGATGGTACAGTGACGCGCACTCCTGTATGTATCAGCATTGCTGGCTTGAACCTTGTATGGGTTGATGTTGGCCGAGGCAGCATTGATAATGCCACCGACAAAGTTCTTCAGCAAACCAGCCATTGTATCAGGTCTCTTATCATAGACTTACTTGGCTGGGTAGACGGTACACATACCCTGAAAACAGCAACACACAGCTTACTTCCAGTGTGTTAAGACAATTGTTAAGACAAATGTTCACAAAATTGAAAAAATGAAAAGCTTGGTCAAAGCTGTGCTGTGATGTCTCGTCACATTGAGGGAACTATTGGAGAAGGTTGAAGAAAGCATAGAATAATTTTACCCATCCTCAGGTATACAGCTCTGAAATTTGGGGATATCAAAATATGTCATGTATTGAAAGTATTCAACTTTATTTTTGCAAACAATTACTAGATCTTTCAAGTAATACTAGTAATGCCGCAGTACTTGGTGAGTCAGGAAGGTATCCGTTATATGTAACGTATGTAACAAAATGTATCAAATACTGGTTGAAAGTATTGTCCATGCCAGATTGTAGATATCCACTTATTTGTTATAAAATAACGTAATCTCTTGATAATGTTGGCAGACAAACATGGGTTGGATTTGTTAGAGACATTTTGTTTGAGTATGGTTTTGGTTTTGCTTGGCTAAATCAAGGTGTTGGAAATGCGCGTATGTTTTTAAATTCTTTTGTACAAAGACTCAAAGATGTCTCTTTGTAAATAATTATGTAATATAAATGAAAATGTTAAATTAAGATTCTATGAAAAATTTAAGTTCTCACTTCAACCTGAACAATATTTGATTAACATAAAAACACAACTTTTTAAATGGTTTTGACTAAATTTCTCGCCAGGGAACCATAATTTCACGTATTGAGTCAGGACGCTGGGGAAAGTGTCTCAGTTGAAAATAGAGTGTTTACACTGTGAAAAGATTTATTCAATAAGATTGCTTGAGGATGAAGAACATTTTCTTTTAATTTGTCCATTGTATGAAAACTTAAGAAATGAATACATACATATTGCAAAAATATTATTAAAATGTAACTAATATCATGTCAATTTGTAACAAGCAGCACGTGTGGAAGTTGGGAGCTTTTTTATTTTACAGCTTTAAATTAAGACAAAACTGGATTGAAAACAATAGTAAATGATTTTAAATGTATCATGTAAGCATATTTAAACGTTGTTGGCAAATCAATCCAATATATGTCATATATCATAACTTACATAATGAGGTACTCTGTCAAGTATATTAAAGGACTATGTATGTGAATTATGGGCCAGATGGCCTACATTTCTGAAATAAAATCAATCAAATCATGAAAGCAGAAGTTAGGTTTATATACAGAGGCCTTAATATAACACATCTACACAAAGATACCATAATATGACATATATGCAGACACCTTATAAGACACCTGTATGTACAGACACCTTAACATAATGCACATTCATAAATATATAAACACTTAAACAAGACACATACACAGACATCTCAGTAAAACTCCTCTATGACACCTGTACATATCACAGAAAAAACACATATACACACAGATACCTTAACATGGCCTGTGTGTACAGACAACATAGCATAACACCTGTATACATACACATCCAGACACGTTAACATGACACCTGTATACCATGAAACAAAACACATACAGAGACACCTCAACATGACATCTGTACACAATGAAACAAAACACACACATACACAGACACAACATGACACCTGTATACAATGAAACAAAACATACACAGACACCTCAACATGGCACCTGTATACAATGAAACAAAACACATATATACACAGACACCTTAACAAGACACCTGTATACAATGAAACAAAACACACATTTACACAGACACCTTAACATGACACCTGTATACAATGAAACAAAACACACATTTATACAGACACCTCAACATTACACATGTATACAATGAAACAAAACACACATTTACAGACACCTTAACATGACACAAGTATACAATGAAACAAAACAGACACATTAACACAGACACCTTAGTAAGACACCTGTATACAATGAAACAAAACACACATTTACACAGACACTTAACATGACACATGTTTTTACACAGACTCCTTAGTAAGACACCTGTATACAATGAAACAAAACACACATTTACAGACACCTTAACATGACACATGTATACAATGAAACAAAACACACACATTTACAGACACCTTAGTAAGACACCTGTATACAATGAAACAAAAAACACATTTACACAGACACCTTAACATGACACCTGTATACAATGAAACAAAACACACATTTACAGACACCTCAACATGACACCTGTATACAATGAAACAAAACACATATATACACAGACACCTTAACATGACACCTGTATACAATGAAACAAAACACATATATACACAGACACCTTAACATGACACATGTATACAATAAAACAAAACACACACATTTATACAGACACCTTAACATGACACCTGTATACAATGAAACAAAACACATATATACACAGACACCTTAACATGACACCTGTATACAATGAAACAAAACACACACTCATTTACAGACACCTTAACATTACACATGTATACAATGAAACAAAACACACACATTTATACAGACACCTTAATAAGACACCGGTATACAATGAAACAAAACACACACATATACACAGACACCTTAGTAAGACACCTGTATACAATGAAACAAAAGACATATATACACAGACACCTCAACGTTACACCTGTATACAATAAAACCAAACACACACATTTATACAGACACCTTAACATGACACCTGTATACAATGAAACAAAACACATATATACACAGACACCTTAACATGACACATGTATACAATAAAACAAAACACACACACATTTACAGACACCTTAACATGACACATGTATACAATGAAACAAAACACACATTTACACAGACACCTTAGTAAGACACCTGTATACAATGAAACAAAAAACACATTTACACAGACACCTTAACATGACACCTGTATACAATGAAACAAAACACACACACCTCAACATTACACCTGTATACAATGAAACAAAACACACACATTTACACAGACACCTTAATAAGACACCTGTATACAATGAAACAAAACACACACATATACACAGACACCTTAGTAAGACACCTGTATACAATGAAACAAAAGACATATATACACAGACACCTCAACGTTACACCTGTATACAATAAAACCAAACACACACATTTATACAGACACCTTAACATGACACCTGTATACAATGGAAACAAAACACATATATACACAGACACCTTAACATGACACATGTATACAATAAAACAAAAACAAACACACAACAGACACTTAACACACATTTACAGACACATTTACACAGACACCTTATGACACATGTATACAATGAAACAAAACACACACATTTACACAGACACCTTAACATGACACCTGTATACAATGAAACAAAACACACACACCTCAACATTACACCTGTATACAATGAAACAAAACACACACATTTACACAGACACCTTAGTAAGACACCTGTATACAATGAAACAAAAAACACATTTACACAGACACCTTAACATGACACCTGTATACAATGAAACAAAACACACACACATATACACAGACACCTAAACATGACACCTGTATACAATGAAACAAAACACACATTTACACAGACACCTTAACATGACACAAGAGTATACAATAAAACAAACACACACATTTGCACAGACGCCTAAACATGACACCTGTATACAATGAAACAAAACACATATATACACAGACACCTTAACATGACAGTTGTATAAGCTCTCACAACTGACTACACAGACACCTAACTGGATACATGTGTATAAAATGAAACATACATGAGACATATGTACAGATACCTTCATGTAATGTATACACAAATAGCTAAACATGACATCTGTATACAGACTGCACCTCAACACATCATGTCACATGCATTCAGACAAAATCTCCAGTTGGGACTGGACATGGACATTTATGTACAAGTCTCACAAGATGTGTTGTGCCATTTCAGCGTGATCCCACTTCATGTCCAAACTAACACCATAACAATATGTACCATGAGAAGTGAGGCACTGTCTAATTATTAATTTGCGGTTACTATTATGACTTGAGTGTAGAAATGTATAAAAGATGTACTCATGGTTGTTCTAAGGACCTACTTCAATCTTTTGTGCACAGTGGAAATTGCAGAAACTACAGTACAACTGTGTCACATGCCATTTAAACAGGCGAGGTATTTATAGGCAATACAATGATTATGCGGGATATTTATTGCCTTATTATCCAACATAGCTATGTGAATATTCGTGCGTGACGTTCACCTCAATACAGTAGCCCAGCTGTACTCAATCCCTTAAGCTGTCATTTTCCTTGTTACCGGTGTTTGTATGAACATAATTCCCTCAATATGACGCCACAATGCGGAAGTCGCATGACACCGTGCCTCAGATTCTTTTCTGTCACCTCAAACGACAGGAGAGTGGAGACGTGAGAGTTACCTCCCTTAGACCATCTTTTCTCAAGGATCGATACGCGACCCGCTGCATCTTTCATCTGAAGATATATTAACAAAGACCGGGAAAAAGTACATTCATGTGACGCATTGCCGAGATAAATGGATAACAGTCTCATGTACATGATGGTCAGATCATAGTTAAGGATAAATACAAGGAGATAATTATATGGATATACAAATTTATGACACTGAGACCCGTGAAGAACCGGGCTAAAATTTGTCTTCAGTAACCCATGCTTGAAGCGACTAGCGGGATAGGGTGGTCAGGCTCGCTGACTTGGTTGACACATGCCATCATATCCCAATTGCGTATATCTATGCTCATGCTGTTGATCACTGGCTTGTCTGGTCCAGATTCGATTATTTAAAATTACAGACCGCCGGCATATAGCTGGAATATTGCCGCGGCGTAAAACTTAACTCACTCACTCGCTCACTCTTTATGACGATGAGACGTTTCTGGTGTAGATACTACACGAACAGATATGACAAGTAACCTCTGTGGGAAGAGAATAAATACACTC